ATTTTCTTTAAAAATAAAAAAAATCGCAAATTCAAGTTGCGCGCACAAGAAACTGACGACGCGCAGTACCCACTTACATCATTAAAGACGAAAGTCTCGTATTGAAATACGTCCATTTGGTTGATGTGAATGAGGTCAAAGTGCACAGTGCCCACTACCTGGTGGTACCACAGCAGGTTGTATTCCATCAAGCTGATTTCTGAAAGGGAGGAGGAAGAACCTTCTGTTACTCTTTAGTTAAATTAGTCAGAGTTTTACGGCACTTGCAACACAATAAGGTCATATGTGAGGCATGCTGACAAAATGAGTTATTTCTCGCAATCTACAAATCGAGATATGGTAAAAAAATCGAAAGTAGGATCAATTTGTTCATCTTTTTATGCCATATTCTTAAAGCATAACACGTATTTTATTATTTCATACTTACAAATTAATTAAATCTTCATCTGTTAGCGTGATGAATCTATTCCCATTGGGCTCGAATCCTAGAAGTAACTCATTTTGTCAGCACACCTCACATATAAATGAAGAATAGATGTGTTACAAAAGGGTAAAATAAGGTACACGAAAAAAAAGGAGGAGGAGAGATAATGACAGATGTTTGATAGGAAAGAAGGAGCAAACCACACCAGAGCACCCGCCAACCACCCACTCTGTTACTCTGGTTCACAGAGAGGTATAGCAATACAATAATGGTCAAAGGTCATTTAAGGCCTTTAGTAGAGGTTTTACGGCGCTTGCAACTGCGTAAGGTCATATGAGCGCCAGAAGATAAGAGGTGTTACAAGAGAGTAACAAAGATATAAAAGAAGGAGGGGAGATAAGGACGATAGATGTTTGATTGGAAACATAGAGTTACCTCCTTTTACACTGTACATCTATGATTGGAAAGAAGAAGCAAACCACATCAGAGCACCCGCCAACCACCCACATTTAAGGCCTGACAGAGAGATAAGTAGATAAGCAGAAAGGCAGGCGCACAGACAGACAGACAGATGACAGACAGATAGGTAGATAGTAGGACAGACAGACAGACAGACAGACAGATAGACAGACAGACAGACAGACAGACTAAATGCAAGAAAGACAGACATATGAACTCGTAAATATATTATTATAATATCCATACAACCAAATGAAAGCTCAACAGACAGACAGACAGACAGACAAACAAAAAGACAGCTAGAAAGACAGCCCGTTATCTAGAAAAGCCGACAAACAGACAGACATTCACACAGACAAGTACAGGCGAGACAGACAAAAAGACAGACATTCATATAGACAAGCACAGGCCTACAGACAAGAAGACAGACATTCACATAGACAAGCACAGGTGAGACAGACAAGAAGACAGACATTCATACAGACAAGCACAGGCCTACAGACAAGCAGACAGACATTCAGACACCAATCCAGCATCCACACAGAAAGACAAAACGTCAGCCACTCAGACAGACTGCTGATAGCCATCTAGCATTCCGACAAATAAACAAACGGCGCTCATATGACCTGATGCAGTTTCGAGCTCCGTAAAACCTCTACTTCAGTTTTCAGTTTTTATCCGCCGCTTATACCCTTTTGGGTGTCACGGGAAGAAAGAGACGTCTCTCTGTCGCCAGCCGGAGAGCTTGGGTCAGGGGATGCCGTGGGTGGTTAATGCTTCCCTGACTCCATCTATCCAGGTCTTTCTCGGTCGCCGTCTAGCCTTTTTGTCATCGAATTTTTTGATGAAGGCACGTTGTGCTGGATGGTGTGTTGGTAATCGCTTGAGATGTCGGAACCATTTGATTCTTTGGTGTTGGATGTAATGCATGACATCATTTGTGCCAACCATTTATCTGATTACTGTGTTTCTACTATTGTCTCCTCTGGTCTTGTTTACTGCTTTTCTAAGACATCGCATTTCAAATGCTGTAATTCTTTGCTCAAATATCTTGTTCGTGGTCCATGTTTGGCATTGGTAGGTGAGTGTTGGGATGAATATGGACAAATAGACAGACATTGAGACAGGTAATTATACAACCGCACTCAGCACCTAAGACATTGAGACAGGTAATTATAGCCGTACCCAGCACCTAAGACATTGAGACAGGTAATTATAGCCGTACCGAGCACGTTGGCCTGCGTGAAGTTGACGAAGAAGGTGAAGGACTCGTCCCACTCCGGGTTTGGCTCATCCTCCTTCACCGTGGTCGACTTCCGGCCCTCTGGGGATGATCTCATCACTAGGTTGATGTACGGGTCCGGGGTGTCGTCTGACACATGGTGCAAGAACAAAAAATACAATTATTTACAATGTATTATTTTTTATTTATACATTGTATCTACGTAATGCTGATGTCAAAATCAATTGTTCGCTTTTAAGCACAAGGGGGTTGTCAAGAAAAATGCTGTTTTGAGAAAATCGAAGGTAAAGTTTTTGCCCCTTGTTCAGTATCTTTAAAAGACAAGACGAGTTTTCTCTATAACCAAACAAATATGAACACCAATGAAACCAAACTTGTCCTATAGGTAGGGTAATGTCCACTTTTAGTGTTGGCCAAGATTTCTGGAAATCCCCGAAATCTGGGTTAGCCCGCTTGTCCTTAAAAGTGACCAATTGGCAATGACAAATTAATTGAGGCATAAAATTTGTAATAAACAAATGCCTTTTCTCCCAAATGCTGCAAGCAGGCAGGAATCATCAATACCGTCACGTACACAATACAACACCATACAAGGAATACCACTCAATCACAACAACATGATACAAGGAATACCACTCAATCACAACAACATGATACAAGGAATACCACTCAATCACAACAACATGATACAAAGAATACCACTCAATCACAACAACCTATTCTTGGTGTGCACAAGGCAAGAACGAAAAATCTACACATCTGATTACTCAATTAATGTAGATGTTTTCATAACTGGAAATGGTGAGAGTATAAATTTTAAAATTTTGTAAACTCCTAGCCTAACTACTTTTCTGTTTTTGTGGTTTATTATGATCCACGTCACTGACATTCAAGCACTGCGACAGAATCTGCGCTTCTAACACAGGAAGAATTAGCCATGAAAGAAGCTGCATGAAGACAACCTTGAGACCATCTTAAGCTAAATTGACCGTCTGCACAGACGAAAAGAGCCATGCTCCACTATGGTTTATTAGTATTGAGAGTTTAATGAGATGTCACGCGTTAATAATCAACCAACAATTGAACAGAAATGTAGTTATGAGTCTGCAAGCTTTTATCATTGATATGTGAGGTGTGCTGACAAAACGAGTTACTTCTTGGATTTGAGCCATATGGGAATAGATTCATCGCGCTAACAGGTGAAGATTTTACCTCCCTCCCCCCATCATAACCACATTTCTGTTGCACTTACAATAATCCCTGAATCCAAGAGTGACGTTTCTGGCACGCAACACACGCACGGTGAGGATGAGACAAGGGGTGTGCTGGACCTGTGAACAGAGGGGGTGGGGGGTACGTCATAGTTTTAGTTTTCTTAAGAGCTGCTTAGTCTTTAGTTAAATAGTGGAGGTTTTACGGCGCTCGCAACCGCATAAGGTCATATGAGCGCCAGCCAGAAGATTAGAGGTGTTACAAGAGAGTAACAAACATAAAAAAGAATACGGGGAGATAAGGACGATAGATGTTTGATAGGAAAGAAGAAGCAAACCACACCAGAGCACCTGCCAACCACCAACAGTAAGAGTTCTACGGCACTTGCAACACTTTAAGGTCATATAAGTGCCGAAGATTAGAGGCGTTAAAAGACAGTAACAAACACACACACAAAAGAGGAGAAGTGAGGACGATAGATGCTTGATAGGAAAGAAGGAACAAACCACACCAGAGCACCCGCCAACCACCAAAAAAGACATGGTAAATGTGTAGTAGTTAGGAATAAAAGGGGGCATAGTGGCGAGGGACAGCTAGAGCGCATAAACACGCATGTACGTGTGTGCATGGACGTGCACACACATACACACACACACACACACACATACACACACACATAGACATAGACACACACATGGACGTGTGTGCATGGACGTGCACACACATACACACATACTCATAGATACACACACACACACATATACTCATAGACACACACATATACGTGTTTGCATGGACGTGCACACACATACACACATACTCATAGACACACATATACATGTACGTGTGTGCATGGACGTGCGCACACATACACACATACTCCTAGACACACACACACATACATAGACATATACATGCGCACACTCACATCAACAAACATACATGATACACTCACTCGCGTACACACACAAATAGTCATAGATACACACACATAAATGCACACACACACACACACACACACACAAACACACAAACACGCGCACACAAAACACACAGTATACACACACAAACACAGGCACACACATACAAACATACACACACACACACACACACACACACACACACACACACACACACACACACACACTAACATAATATACTGACACTCACACGCATCAGAGCACAGGAAGACACCATACACAATACACATTCGGAGTTACAAGCTTCACCCCGTCCTCCCCCCCTCCCCTTCCCCAATACGGACACCCTCTCAAAACCACTTACGCGCAAACACACAATATAAACACAAGCAGAACAGGCACAGGAATAGCTTACACTTATATAGTCACTTACCATTTGTGCACCGACAAATACAGACGAAGGCACACACGTACTCGTACATAAACCCAAACAAATTATACGCACATGCAAGTACACACGCAAGAAGAAGAAGAAGAAGAAGAAGAAGAAGAAGAAGAAGAAGAAGAAGAAGAA